CCATTTCAGATGAAGCTGGATTTAGCTAAAAAGTGTTTGCAAAATAGCGCACAACAAATCATGCATTTGGCCAAAACTTTTGTATCGATTGTGCGAATTTGAAGTCTTGCAGGATCTGTATCGCACATATTATGACATACATGCGCGTGTTTATTCATCATTACTCCATGGTTATGAGTTGTATTTAAAACAGTTTACATCGAATCAAAAGGATTTAATTTCTGCAACCACGAGGGTTATGAACAACGCCAAGGAAAGCGAATTCTTTGCCAGCACCGTTTGTAATTTGTCTGGTAATTTTTCCCGGAATATTGTGAGTACTATAACCCTCTTTATTATTAGACTGCTTTTACACAGTTCAAGTATTGAATTCCATTCTGCTCGCATGTGGAAGAGAGGGGGTGAGAACAAAAGGGACGAGTAAACATGCGTCTGTACCGTCAAGTCGTTTAAACTTTCTTGCTTTGCTTTTGGCATTTTCGTTGCTTCCCATTTAACGAACCAAACTTGAATACAACAGAATTGAAACGTGTAAAGGCAAATAGAAAACAAAGTACCTGAATCATGTAAATCGGGTGTAATGACGAAAGTCCATAAACGTCCCTTGCGGTGATATGTAGGAGAGCGCTGCATGAATGCATTCAAACGGCGTATGAATTATTCATACACAAAACGGATGAATAATTTTAGCTTAACATTTTTATTTATTTTTTTTAAATCTGAGTGAACAGCTGTTCAGATATATGTGTCGACAAAGTGAAAATAAAATGAATTGATATAAATGTCAACTTTTTGTATGAATATCCAGAAGTATTTTTTCTTCGTACATATGTACAAACATACATATGAGTGAACAGCTGCTCAGATATATGTGTCGACAAAGTGAAAATAAATTGAATTGATATAAATGTCAACTTTTTGTATGAATATCCAGAAATATTTTTTCTTCGTACATATGTACAAACATACATATGTATGTATGTATGTATTGCTGCGCTCCTATTACATACGAGAAAACTTGTGTGCCGAAATGAGTTTGAATGATTTAAATGTTTTCCATTCATTCAGTCACATTCTTCCATTTAAAGGTAGACAATTTAAAACAAAATGTATATTCATAACTTACAAAATTCCAAACGCTGAGTGTTTTGTAAGTGAAGTAAAATATTCAAATGTACTGTACTCTGTTTGGCTAGAAGTTTGAATGCAGCCCATATATATATTATGTAGGCAATTCTTCGATATAAAGATTGCGACACAATTGTATTAATTTCGCAAGGTTAGAAGGAATAAAAAACATGTAGGCAACTTACCGCTCCTCCCAACCTTTTTACCCGAAAGCTTCTAATAAGATATACTTTAAATAAAATTAAAGGAATCTTGAATATTTTTTGAATTTGGTGGACGTAGTATATTATGTTCGCGCAAACTCCATTTGTTTATAATGATTTCCTGGGGTACGTGTGTATGTGTATACATATCAAAAGCACGTATGCATTGTAACGTTAATTTTAGCGTTTACCAAAATAAACCAATCGTTTCTGTTGAAACAATTCAGTTTCTTATCATTTAGGTAATTATCAAAATAATTCTATTCTTGTTTTTAACGAAAAGAAACGAAATTATTTTGATAAGTTATTTTTGCGCATCAACAAAACGAAATCGATTCATATAGTTTGTTGAGCATCTCGTAGTAATGATTTATATTCGTATGATAAAGTGGACTGTATTATGTTGCGAATTGTGGTTGTGGAATAAGTTAGGCTTTTATGAAATGGAGT